TACTTCGCTACAAATATATCGAAGTTCCCTAGGTCGTAGCGCAAGTGCAAATCGGGACTCGGTTTACGTATACTGTTCCACATATGGGCGATAAGCATGCTGACAAAATTTCAGCCATTTTTTCCCCGTAAGTTTTCGAGTTAGCACAGTACCAAGTTGCAAACTTTGATGTGATCATACACGCTGAAAAGCTTGTGCGACAGTTGAATTTGAAATCTTTAGCTCGTAAGTGCACGCGAAATCATTTCCTACCGAAAAACTTTGCATATTTTTTTCGGGGATTTGTACGCGAGGTCCTAGGTGTGCGTGAGCGAAAATTTTAAAACGGTAGGATGACACACGGGGTAGTACCCGAAATTTTAGACCCCAAGCTTTCTTGGTTGCTCAGATGAAAGTGGATGACCAAGTTCACTCGCTTTCGAACACGCACACAGACGACTGACTTCTCGACAATATGTGCTTTTGCTCACTGTAGCATCGCTATAGCAAAAACGCATAAAAACTGATTATTAGGAAAATGCGTGGACAATAGTCAAAATTAAATTGGCCGGCGCATGCGTTTTTGCATAGTTACCCGCAGGGTTTTTTTCACTATCGGCTCCGGTTTTTTTGGCAGATGCTTCTCTCTAAACGAAATTGAGATTGGCCGCCATGACTGTCAGGAAAACCCCTCTTAAAATTTAAGCTTTCTAGCTTTCCTGATTTCCAGGTTTAGCAAATTACCCGCCAAAAAATTTCCCTGGCCTGTTCGTGAGAGCCACGCACGACTGGTATTTGAGCTTGAAGTTACTAAATTCTACTGAACCAGGAACATCTCTTTAAAATTCCAGTCTCTTTGCTTTGCAGGTTCCTGAGTTAGCAAATTACCCGCAAAGAACTTTCACGGGCCCGTACGCGGGAACCACTTGGGTAAGAGCCCTCATTTTAGGGATGGGGGCGCGTACGTGCATTTAGATTAAGTTCTCAAAATTTCAGCCCTGTAGCTTTTGTAGGTCTCGAGATGAACCATTGGCGACGCGCACCGGTTGGGTTCGTGCGACCATGCGTTTTTGCAGTATTTCGTGCTGTAATGAGATCGCTCGGAAACCCAGTAGATAGAAATGTGTGATATACTAGTCCTCGTGGTCCGGAAAGTTAGCAATCTGCACAGTATTTGGACAGGGACATTCCGTTCATATTTCAGCTTTCCAAATTTTTTGGTTCTTGAGTTAGCAGTTTTCCTGCCAGAAATTTTCATGGGGCTGTGCATGAGTACCACACACACTGAAGGGTTAAATTTGATAAGTTGTACTTTTGCTGGGAAAATTCCCTGAGAGTTTTAGCTTCCCAGTCTTTCTGGTTCCCAAGTTAGCCATTTTCGCGCCGAAAACTTTCACGAGGTCATACGTGAGAACCACGCATGCCCGGGAGCTGAGTTTGATAAATTTAAGATGAACTTGTGATTGAAACATTCCCTGAAAATTTCAGCTCCCCAGCTTTCCTGGTTCCCGAATTAGCCATTTTCGCGCCAAAAACTTTCACGGGGCCGTACATGAGAATTACGCATGCCTGGGGGCTGAATTTGATAGATTTATGTTTTACACATGCTAGGAACATTCTCAGAAAATTTCAGCATCCTAGCTACCCTGGTTCCCCAGTTGGCGATTTTCGCGCCAAGAACCCTCAGGGGGCCAAACGCAAGAACCACTCACATCTGGGGATTGAATTTGAAATCTTTGAGTTCTATGTGGACGGGGAACATTCCCTCAAAATTACACCTTTCTAGCTCTTCTGGTTCCCGAGTTAACGATTTTCCCGCCAAAACTTTCACCTTCTCGTACGCA